CTACCCCTAATTGGATTTTCAGATGAAGCTTCTTATTGAAGAAAATGCCGACAAAGTCACAGAATTTGCTGCGTGTTATGTGCGTAAGCACATTAATGAACATGGGTGCGACTCGAACAATTACTTTGTGCTTGGTCTTCCCACTGGTTCGTTTCACTTTGAGTTTTTTGCTTCCTTTGAATTGTTTATTAAGTCTCTTTTGCTAGCACATTTGAACACATTCATCATGATAATTGACCTCAATCTATCGGTGAATTCACACGCTTAGACGTCACTTCTGCTAAGGTCATGCGTGCATTGTACACTAGGAGCGAGGGAATGTACAGAGTTTTTGATGTCATATAGTTGTTACTTCTTTCTTGTCTCTCCTCTGATCACTTCTCCATTCTAGACAAGAATGCTTTCAAAAATCTAAGCTTTGGCTATTGAGTTCTTTTGATTTTTAAATGACTACAAAAAGAAGGAGGCGGCGGGAGGTTGAAGGGAAAAGGGTTGTAAATGCGCCAGACGCGGAAGAAAAAAGTGCCTTAAAAGGGGCATGCAGGTCAAAAGTTCTGCTTGACTCTGATGTTTGTATGAACAATTGCATTTTATTTTCTAGCACTCGGTACTAAAATTATCGCATATGACGATAGTTAAATGCATGAAAATTTTTACAAACTCGACACATCTTTTCCAATATAATGTCTAAAATTCAAAAATTGGAATTTGCGATCATTAAAATTTAAATAACGATCTCGTCGGCAAAACTTCTGCAAATTTTCCATTCTTAAGTAATTATAATAATGATACTATCCGTAAAACCTACCTTCTTGAGGCTCTACTCCGCTAGGGATGTACAAAAAGCTAATCAAATTCTGCGAAGAGGGTAGTTTGTCATTTCGATACGTGATCACCTTCAATATGGATGAGTATGTAGGTGAGTACGGATAAACGAAGGTACTATAAACGATTTAGTTAAACGATATGTTTAAGGCTTACCACGGGAACATCCAGAATCCTATCACTCGTTTATGTACAACAACTTTTTCCGTCACATAGACATCGATCCAAATAACGTCCATATTCTTGATGGCAATGCTGAAGATGTAGAGAAAGAATGTCGAGATTACGAAAAGCTGATCAAGAAATCTGGTGGAATTGATCTCTTTGTAGGAGGTGCCTACAGATGGTAATAAATCCAGTGAAATAAGTAATGCCATTTATTGTTCAGGAATAGGTCCAGATGGACATATAGCGTTCAACGAACCTGGCAGCTCATTATCCTCTCGAACAAGAATAAAGACCCTTAATGCGGACACAATAGAGGTATTTGTGTTCAGATTGATGAAATCAGAGCACATTTGGGGAATACAGCTATTGTGTTCACTATGCATTAGAGTATGCAGCCTCATTGGCTTAAAATGGTTTCGCTGAAATTCTAAAATTTAGTAAGGTGTATTTTGTTCTCAGCAGTGTTTGACCATTGACCGGAATCACAGTCGAAGTTTATATTAAAAGCAAATTCACATTGTCGGCGATATTGGGCTTTCGTGCCCAAATCTCAGGCACATGCTAATAGCGCATCATCACGGAGTTAGGTATATAATAGGGAATAACGAACTAAAATAATGATGAGAATGTTCGTGAAGAGCACTCTCTAGAGCCTTCTACTTTCAAAATACCTGATTCAGCTAATCCGTCTTTACAATCGAAGTTGAAACATTTTTAATGTTATGTTCTTCATATTCAGCGGCACGACAGATGCATGCACACTTTGAATTTTTCATTTAACAAAACCCAGTCTCCGCATAATCAGGCGTTTTTTTGCATAGTGATTGTCAACTAGTATAAATAAAATTTCCTGAATTCACGAGGTTCCTCAAAAATGCCTGTTCTTAAAAATCGCAACTCAAGAATATTTTTCTCAAAAATATTGCTAAACT